AAATCTGGTGAAGTTGGAAAAGTCTTTAAGGGAATACTAGTATTACCCACTGATGGCTGCACTGCCTGGGGGTGGATACCATGGGGAGCAGAAGTTTCACTTCCATCAGAGGTTCCAGGAAGGTGAAGGACATGAAAGTGCACATCTTCCTTATTTCCCAATTTGCTTGCCTACAGGGGCAATAAGACCAGAACAAGTTAAGTATGCACATGTGCACAAATGTACATGAAAGAAATTCTAGAAAAGTTGTGAGAGAAGAACGAGAATCACAGGAATATGTTTTTGAAAGCAGCTGTCTCTGTGCCACTGTCTGGATTTGCATTCCTGTTTATTCTGAACTCAGATTAATTTTGGCTTGAGTGCACAACTTTCTTCTTCCCATCCTGTGCGTGTGGTCCATGACAACGATGTGACCTGTGTGTGTAGTTAATCTGAGGCTCAGCAATTTCTTCAGCCAGGACTTGTGTGAAGGAAGGAACTCAGTGGGGAGATGAGATCTGAGTCAGATTAAAATCTAGGCTGAAATGAAGAGATTGTCTAAAATGAAGAACATTAGAATGAAATCTATATTTATATTTTGCCCAGCCAAGCCTCAGAAGGAGAGCCAGAACTTGGAGTACAACATCAGACCAAATTATACATTGTGTCTTTTCTCACCCTGTGAACACCAAGTGCAGTAATATACAGTTTATACCAGTCTTTCACAGGAAGGAGAGCTGTCCTCAAATGCTTGAATAATAAAAATTAACATTCACGATCCTTGTTTCTGCTAAAAGAGGTAGCATAATTAGTCCTGTATAAAATGAAGATTAATTTTTATTAATGAAGGCGTTCTTGATTTAGGTTCTTTTTTTCAAATCACTTTTGTTTTAAACTCTACACTCAGGAAGATCTGTTCACAAGCTCAGCACAGAACCACTGAGAATCATTCATGAGACACTGGAAGAGTCTTCTGATTGGATTTATGGCTTTTTTTCTTTACTTTCTGACATCGTATGGAGTGATGATGATGATGACAGTGATGAAGGTATTTGTAACGTAAAGACTTCTGTAACTGCTCTAACTGCTGTTTTACACGCATTAAAATGTATTACTCAGCTTTTAACATCACAGACAAGAAGGTCAAACAAAAGGAAAAATGAACATTGCTGCTAATAAAGCATCCACCGGCTATTCCAATCAGTAAATTGGTCTCTTTGTTAGCTTTCATCTCATGTTTAATGTACTATTACAGAAAAGCTGTCAGACTTAAATATTACCATCAGGACATCTTGAAGAAAAGAGCACTAATTTATATACGACTTCAAAGCCACAACCAAAATATGCATCAGGATATTGCTTCAGAGAATGGAAATAACAATTTTCTTTTAATCAGCAAGAATCTAAAGAACCCAAAAATATACAACATGCATCAAAAAATTAGAACTTTTTTAATTTGATATATTGATGATGGGGCAATATATTGAAACAAAAAAAATATGATATTTCAACTGAATTTAAGGGATTTTGAGTGGCATATTGCAAATAATTCAGTTTACTAGAAATTATAGTTCTGCCATTATGACACCAACCTTCATCTGAAATAATCAGATAAATGAAAGTAAATTACTAATATTTTGATTTTGGAAATAACTCTCCTTCTGTTAATAAAAACAAAAAGCCAAACCAAAAAGAAAAAATAAAACCTAGGTCTCCAGTATGAGCAGAGACTGCTCACAGTCAGCAGTGGATCATCGTGTCACATCATATTGGTCATTCTGACAAGCGATACGTGTAGGAGTGACATCTTCATTTCACGGTAGTTTATTTTATATTCCATTTGGCTACACCAGAATATAATTAAAAAGCGACATGTACTGAAACTGACTTCTACATGTTTGTTCAGAAACCTGAGATATTACCAAGTGTTTACCTTTTAAATATGTGCATGAGCTTTTTATATTAGCACCGTATATGAATGCTAATAGATAGGCTGCTACATGTGAGTCTGTGAATTGGGCATCCTATTCTGAGATATGATTTATAACTAGCAGAAAGCCAGTCTCTCCTAAGGCTGACAAACAGAAAAGATGAAAAATAGAGAGCTTGGTGAAATGTGATCGGTGTGCATTTTTATCATTTCATAGCTCCCAAAGCAAGTGCAAACTTTCAAACACTCAAGTGTCCAAGTGTTAATGGCAGTAGGAAAAGTCATAAAATACCTGACAGACAAAAATTCAAGATTTGATGTTCACTAGATTTGGAAACCTTAGCTCTGGCAGTGTTTTGCCAGAGTGAAGTGGAATTTCATCATCAACCAGGAGTGTGAATAGGCAGTAAGGCATCTTACTGCACTATAACATAAAAATTAAGTGCTTTGAGCACCCTGCCCACTCTGTGCTGTAGTTTATGCAACTGAGGCTGCACCCTAGCCAGTCATTCAGGATCACTCCATCAAATTCCATTTCCTACATGGAGGTGCAATAACATATTGCAACAATCAAATGCTTATAGTTACACTGAAATTGATTATTTTTTGCCTTGGGTTTTACTGGAAGCATTGCTAGATTTATAATCTTGCTAAATTTCATATATACTTTATTTGGAATTTGAAAAGAACCACTGAGCCTTTCCTGAAAATGTGAAAACATGCATAAAGTAAACCAATTTTTAATTGTATTCACAAGTTAATATTCAGAAGCACAAACAGTAATTTGGGTACTTCCTTAGTTACTACTGCATCTTGAATTTATCTACCCAAAACACTCTGGAAAGATAGATTTTTTTATGAAAAATCTAAAATCTCAGAATAGATGCTAGTCATTTAGCATATAAAGAAGAAAATTACTTTTGGGGGAAAAAAAAAAAAAAGCCAACATAAAAAAAGTAGGTGGTTTTTTGTTTTGTTTTGCTTTTGTGAGGGCTATTTTGGGTTTTGGAGGTTTTTTATTTATTTATTTTGTTTTGGGTTTTTTTGGGGGGTGTGGAATTTTTTGTTTGGTTTTGGGGGGTTTTTTGTTGTTTTTTAAAAATCTTTTCTCTGATATCTGTTCTTTTCTCTTGGTTTAGGTGAAGTAGAACCTTCCCTGAAAAAAGGTTAGTGAGTTGCTTAACAATAGAGGGAAAATATTTTGTAATAATTTTAAAAATTAACTGTACATCTGTGATATAAATTCTGTTAATAGTTACATGGCAGTCTACTAACCTTTTCAGTTGTGCTCTAACAAACACATTAAAGCAAAACACAAATAATATTTACTGATCTGTTTGTTGGTCTGTGAGAATTCTTTACTATTTCACTGTTATTGAGAAAATCTAAAAAATTTTCATCTAAAAATAAAATTACAGAAATATTATTTATATCCTTATCATACTTGTGGAACTTCTGTTAATGCCAAGGAGTTATATGTATGTCTGGATAGAAATAAAGTTCACGAAAAAGAATATAGAAAGTATATTTAGTGAGAAATAATGATGAGGAACTGTAAAGCATTTTACCTGAAGCCAACACAGGCCCCTAAAGAAAGGACTGTGTCCTAATCTTCTGAAAAAATTACTTAGTTTTCATTGAATTTTTAAAGTAGACAAGTGAAGGAAATAGGATTTATATTATAATCTTTATGGATATTGAAATTGTTTTGCTGAAACATAAAACTTATATTCAACTTTTATTAAATCAAAATGCAAATGTATTAGAAGGCTGGAATTACTGATGATAGAATGTAAAGCTTTTCAAAACTATGGTGTGTTTTTTATCCATATTGAGCAAAGCTCGAGAACAGTAACCAGCCCTATGTGAACTGAATTTGGTATCCATCAAATTCTCAAGAGGTGAATGCCCATATTGAAGAATCAATCACCCCAGTTGCTTCTGAGATTAAAATCCAGTTTTCTCTGAAGTTAATTGGAACTGGATCAGGCTTCTACTTAATGAAACATTTTGTCAGTCTCAATCTGCAATCCAAGGAATTAATTGGCTTGAAGACCAGAACCAGTTATCTTTCTATTGATGACTCCTCATATTAGGAAAACTTATAGACATTGTAGGAAAAGATTCCATCTCTTTACTTCATCTGCAAGAACTGTAAAACCTTCAGCATCACCCTGTCTCTTTTCCCACAGAAACAGGTGCATTTTTAATTTTACAGAAGGTGCACAGAGTCTGAAGCTGTAGCACATTGTTGACAAGGATGCACATGGGTGGAATGTTTCTTCTCACCATGGGCCAGTGTAGGGGCCAGGCTGAAAGTGCTGCTACTTCATGGCTAGGAAGGCATAATCCATAAAAACACCATGGACAACCCCACACTCAGCATTGTAATTCCTTCTTCTCTGGAAATCAGTGACACAGGCCTCGCCCCTTGCATTGGGACACAAAGCTGTAGAAACAGGATTCAGAGAAGTCATCTAAACAAGCTGAAGGCTGTTTAAATTGTAGGCAGTTGGAAGAGATGATATGGTTGTTTGGACCTAAAAGTTCTCCATCCAAGGAGCTGAGTATCTAACTGCTAGCTGGGAATGTTTTCCTCACTATTGAAAGCTCACAGCCTGGCTCTGGACATGAATCCTGGGAGGATCTTCTATCTTTGGTGTAAAGGAAATGGACAAGGAGCTGGTGATTTCTCTAGATCTGGTATCTTACAGTATAACGCAGCCACACAGATGTGAAAAGGCACAAATTCAAACATGCTTCGCCTGCTTGAACAGTAAAACAAATTTTGAGTGGGCTTTTCCACTTCCTGGATGTGTGCTCAAGATTGTCCCTCTGTCTTTTACAGTATAAGCATTCTCATCCCTGTCTCCCTGCAAAATGCTTTGTTTTGACTGGGCCTGCTGAAGTTAGTACCCCTTTCTGTCATAAGTAATGCCATAAGCTTTCACATAGCAACAAGTAACTTACCATCTCCGGGTGACTGGAGGTCTCCATTTCATCCTGGCAGACAGGATCTGGCCTTGTTTATGCTTGATTTTGTCACCTCTTTTACAGGGCTGCAGAAACACAACGTATGTGGCCTGAAGCCACGAGTGCCTTGGAAGTGCAGAGCACTGTGTGTCTCCTCAGTGACAGGCACCTCTCAGCCCCTCAGAGCTGTTCCTGCCTCTCTGCAGCCTTCCCTTAAAACTGCATAAACTTCAAACAGCTTAATTGCAGGGCCTAAGGCTAAACAGAAGTTTTCTGAGGGCTCTGTGGTGTGGTCTATGAACAGCTTTTCTGTTTAGGCACAGCGAAATTCTCTGCCAGCGCTAAAGCTGGTGAGCGCGGAAGGCAAAGCCCCGGGAGGTGAGCGGAGGGCTCAGGTGAGCTCCTGCAGGTAACACTCTCCCAAACACCACAATCTGTTCCCCTGAGCACAAGGTGCAGATCTCTCCAAGCAGCTTTTCCTAATTAATTTGTGCTGCCATTTACACAGTCCATAAGACTTCCAGAAGAAAAACTTTCTAAAACAAAATAAAACAAGACACCGCATTGGTGATTTTTTCCATGTTGCTGCAGTTAGGGCTGGACCATCTATACAAGTAGATCTGAAGATTTTGGGGTGTCAAAATGTTAGTTTGATCTATGAAATTAGAGCCAAATTTTTTGGTTATGGAGTTTTCTCTGCCTACACGTAAAGGACCATTTCTTCATCAAAATCCCTTCCATTCTGAGCAGCAATTTTATCTATAGCTTTATGAAGGACCCTTCCTTAGATGACATTGGCATTTGTACATTCCAAACAAGAAAAAAAAGAAAAACGGTGAGATTGTGAAGTATGTTACTGCTATCTTCAGAATATGAACAGATTGACATTTTTCACATTTTTATGGAAAACCTCTCTCAAATTTAACTCTGGAAATGTGCACTGTGGTTGCTGTGCCTGATATTTAAGCATTTGTATTGGGTCTAACTCCCAGTTATTGTGGTATTCATGAATAGAATGAGAATTTTTGAAAAATTTCCATGTCTATTTTTAGTGAATGGACAAGCCTTCACTCTTTTCCTTTGCTAACTAGCAGCTTTTATAAATGCTAAAATGTTTGCACAAAACTTACTTTATAATGGAATATACTAACTGAAAAAAATAAGATTACTGGTATCACAATACAGTTGCATATTGGAAAAAAAATCAAGGGGAGTGGCAAGGACATTGTCTAGCCATGAAAGAAGAAAAGTCTAATCATAGACTTTGAAAGCAAAGATCACTTTCCTAGAGACGTAAATTAAAAGCAAAGATAATAGAAGTACAAGTAATGACAATGGTCTTCCACAGGCAATGGGATTAATATCAGTTTCAGAATCCTTTAGAAGATATGAAAATATCTCTCAAGCACGTTTTTTTTTATTGCAATTATTTTTTCCACTCCAAGTCTTATCACTAATATTTATCTTCAATAATTGGAAAAGAATGAACATTTAATATTGTCTCACAAAGCAGTATTCTTCAGTGGACATAGTGAAAGATTATTCTGGAGGGGACTTTGCAGTTTTTAACAATGCATAGTCTCAACATACAAAAACTATAGGGCATTTTCATAAAAGACAGAGAAGTTTAAATCTTTCTTTCAGGCTTAATTTGCTTTTAGTTTCATTTCTTTCTATAATAGTTATGACTGATAATCTTGTTCATTTTTTCAGGGTTAGTTTCACCTTTACAGACACATTCTATTATTTGACAGCTGTATGCCTGTATGGTTTTACTAGAAATTATTGCTAGAAAAAAGAAAGTGTGAGGTTTCTTGGGTTCTTGTTGGTTTTTTTTTTGTTGTTGTATTTTTTTTACAGTAGTGGACACTACTGGCCTCAATTGAGAGTTTGGAAAAAAGCTGAAAAACACAGAATTGGAAAATAAAGGTCTGTAAATAGTAAAGAAGTGCAAACACTCCAACATTGGCAACCATGCCTAAAAAGGTCTTTATTAAACTGAAAATAATTTAAATTTCAATAAATACTATTCAATTAAAAAGTAGAGAAATAAATAAAGCACCATCATGACAGTTATCCATCCCTATGTTACTGAAAAATTTTATTATTGGCATAAGATTATTCTTACAAACAGTCAAAAAAACCATTTCATTCAGACAGAGATAGATCTGTAATTTTCTATGAGTTAGGCTATATATGAGACAAAAATATGGGGTTTTGACTTCTTTATTTGGAAAATGTAATTCAAAAAAATCATAGATTACAACAAAAAGCCAACACAGACTAGAAATTTCTGTTAAAGGTTGCAAGAAATTTTGTAAAAGACAAATAACTTTTTTGGCAAAGCACCTTATCCATTTGTCTTCAGTTCAAAGGAGAGTATCATCACCAGAGTATTGGGCTGGTTATTGGTATGCTGAAGACACATCATGCTCTAAAGAGACGTGTCACCTTCTGAGGGAATGGTCAGTTACACTGACTCACCCTGGGCAGCTCTGGGCAAGGTGCAGCTCCCCCAGACCTGATGCCAAACACTCCTATTAACCCCTTCTCCACCCCAAGGTTATGTCAGTCAGAATTTATTCAGCACAATCTATTGGCTTGTTCAGACCTGGGTATTGATCTGTGCTAACAAACAAAGTGCTCCCAAAAGGAAAGGATCTCAGGCCAGACCATTTCCTGCATCATCTTTTGGTGTAGTGATCAAGTAAACATATACAAAAAGTTTGCCTGGGAGAGGGGAGAGGAAGGAACAACCTGTGTAGAGAAGTCAGGGAGTTTTCTAAGTTGGACTTGAAAGTATTTTTGTTATGATAACCTGTATAAGTCTAAAGAGAACTGTTCTCAGTATCCAGGCTGGGTAGGGTAAACATACTGACAAATATTCAAGTTATTACTCCAACAATTTATTATGTGTGTCAGACTGTTTTAATCTATTAAAATACCTAAGAATGTACGACTGGACCAGAAGTCCAGCTCACACAGTGGATGGGGGACAGAAGTCTTTGTTGCTGCCCTAGAGTGACCAGTGCAAATGCCTCAGGAGGTATATCAGAACTGTTAAAAATATAGTTATAATTTCCCAAGGGAGCTCTCCATACTCCAAGCATTTTCCCCAGTGAAGGGACATGATGTTTGCATGGCTATAATCCTTCTACAGCTTCTTGTGAACCTAAGGCCACAGACTGGAAAT